TAACAAAGCTGTTATTACAAACAAAAAATTTTAAAAATAGCATGAGCACGTTGTCTTAAAACTCTCATTTATGAACACTTAGTACATTTGCAAACAATTTTTAACATGATTGAAAATCTTCCAAATGCATTTCAGTGGATTTAGACCCAATATGTTAAATGTTAAATAAATAAAGAAAAAAAAACTTTGCTAAGAAAACTGATTGATATCAGTGAAGTCAGAAAATTACTAGACTAGAAAAATACTAAGCTACAACCTTTGTATAATTAATGGATGAACTGAAATTTGAGTATCATAACTGAGTACATGAAACTAATTTTGCACTTCTTCCATATCTCTTTGTGCCATCTAATTTAAGTACAATAGTCCTTATATCTAAGTATGGGAATAAACTGACCTTAGACTTTTAACCCTCTATGATCAGGTTTTAAGCCAATTTTCAAGGTAATACAGCGTTTTCTACCACATAACTCTCACTAAAATTTGTTAAAATTATCAGCACTATATACATTAAAATTTTTTTTTGTATTTATGGATTTCTCTGTATTTGTGTTTTATAATTTATGTAATGTTACTACAACATTATACTTAAAGAATTTATAAGATCAATTTTTAAATATGTGCTAAAAAATGCTTATTAATAGAGGTATGTGTCGGAGAATATTTAGAGACCTTAGTTTTCTGTTTTGGTTTGGTTTTTTAGTTTTTCTTTCCTGTCTACTCCAGGTAGTAGAAATAAGTTGTTGGAAGACGACATTCAAATCTAAATTTTCGATGTTTTGTCTTGATGATCAGTTGGATCATTTATCTGCAATAAATCACATTTAAGTCTCTAACATCATCAGAGATGTTGATCATTATTGTGATCCAAATCAAGAGAGGTTAGTGATCTTGAGTGATATTAGGACTAGTATTATTCTTTTGACACATGCAAATGGTGTGAAAGTGAAACATAGGTAACAGCACAATGGAAAGAAAGCAAAGGAAATTGCTGTAGAGAATTTAAAATATGAAAAAAAATTCCACCCTCACAGAACTAATACATTTTTATGATCAATAGAAAACCTGATTTCAAAATCCCAGGCTTTCAATGATCTACTGTTTGACCTTGGAAATGTCACATATTTTTCTACTGCCTCTGTCTCACAACTAGAAAATGAGGTTTAATATACTTCTCCATTCTCACAAATGTTCATTATTAACTTTCAAAATTAAAAAAAGTAAAATATGTCAACTTCTGAACTTTTAGTATGAATGTGCTACCGTATCTATAGTTGACCTTAAAAACAAGGTTCTTTGACATCTGAGGGTTTATCTCAGAAAAGGCCTCTTCCTTTTTACTTTTTAATCAGTTTTTCTTTTTGCATCCTTCCTCCTATTTTTTAATATTAGGTAAAAATTTCTTTTTTGATTAAGATAGTCTGAAATATTATAGACACCATAATCATTTATACATCTCCATTTTTTTTAGCCACTCTAAACAATTTTCTTATAGCCTTAGGTTAGGTGGTATAATTGGCCAAATACACTTAAATTTAATACTTTAATCCACTCTTTATTTCAAGTGTCAGTTTTCTAAAATTATAGAATTTTCGAACTGAGAAGAACTTTAGAGGTTACAAACCAGCGTTAACACTGGCTGTACCAGGACTTCCCTGGCGGTCCAGTAGCTAAAACTCCAAGATCCCAGTGTAAGGGGCCCAGATTTGATTCTCTGATCAGGGAACAAGTATTCTTGCCTGGAGAATCCCATGGACAGAGAAGCCTGAAAGGCTAAGTGTTGCCAAGAGTCGGATACAACTGAAGCGACTGAGCATGCATGCATGCTCAGGGAATTAGATCCCACATGCTGCAACTAAAAATCCTGCATGTTGCAACTAAAGATCCCAAGTGCCCCAACTAAGACCCAGTGCAGTCAAATAAGTAAATAAATGCTAAAAAAAACCCACAAAAACCATACACCTGGCTGTAAAACTCCTAGCCCAGACTCCTGAATTCAGTCTCATAAAGTCAGTATGATTTAGATATTTTACTGTTTGCTACATATTATTTGTATGTGCCTAATTTTTCCAAACTAAAATAATATCAATTTAAAATGTTTATAGGGAGAGAATATTAGGGGAAATTTTTGCATTAATATGAAGAGTTTTCTTTCTTGCATTTGTAAATAACTACTTTATCTGTGCTACTCTTCTGCAATATTATTTGATTATTGAGAAGATAACTTTAGGGATTTTTGCATTTAATCTCCAATATGTATATGCTGTAATTATTTTTTATATTCTTGAAATTGAGTAAAAACCTCTTGACCACCATTTCTGTGTTTGGAAAGCTGATGAGTTGTGTTTGATACAGTTGGTGGAAGGGTGCTGAGCTCAAAGTCAGGAGATCTGGTTGGGGGTCTAGCCTTGCATATGCTCCCTGCTTCTTTATGTCTTGGATAAAGAGTTTAATCTCCCTGGCTCTGTGTTTACCGATCTGTAAAATCTATCAGTCAGACTAAAATCTTTTCCAGGCTTATGTTAATTCATGTATAAAATGACATACTGCATGATCTCATTCTAAATCGTGGCCCTGTTTTCTTTGAAAGAAATTTACCAAAAATTTTTCTCACTTTGCTGTAGCCCTAAAAATTATTTCCACAACCCTGTTTGTTTTCATTTTTCCATAAACTGTTTTGAATAGACTCCTTTCTTTTTCCCTGTTTGAGATCCATCTCTTCCCTTAGCTCCCACTTCTATCTTGCCTTCCTTTCTTTCCTTCTAGGACCTTACTCTTATCCTATCAAGGGAGCAGCTATTTACTAAAAAAAAAAAAAAAAGAAGAAGCAAGACAGAGGTCCCCTGGTCTGTGTTTAGGAGTTCTATTCCCTGAGGGGGAATGGATTAGAGCAGTTAGGTCCATGGGCTCTAGAGCCAGACCGCCTGGGTGTGCATTCTCCTCTCTGCCATGCAGCAGCGACATGATATTTGACCTGAGGTTCCTACTCTGCAACATAGGAACAACCGTGTTTCCAAGCATCATTGTGATGACTGGGCACCCCTGGTGGTTCAGACAGTAAAGAATGTGCCTGCAGTGTGGGAGACCGGGTTTGATCCCTGGGTCAGGAAGATCCCCTGGAGAAGGGAATGACTACCCACTCCAGTATTCTCGCCTTGAGAACTCCATGGACAGAGGAGCCTGGAGGGCTACTCCATGGGGTTGCAAAGAATCGGACATGACTGAGTGACTAACACACACATTGTGAGGACTAAATGAATCAAAATAGATGAAACACCTAGCATAGAGCCTGGCTAGGAGAAATTGCTCCTTAAATGTTGCCAATTATTGCACCCGACCCTCAGAAAACGATAATCACTTCAGCACAGGGTGGAAGAGGGAAGGGTAATACTGAGGCAGGGTGAGTAGAATGGTGTGTTCTAATAGTTCTAATAGTTCTTTTACAACTGTTTGTTCCCTACTTCCATCCTTCTGGGATGAAAATGTTAGGCAAAAGCATGATGAAGAGGAAGACTGCCATGATTTGTGGGTGATGTACCTTTCATTTAATTAGCAGTAATGGCTACCTCTGGCAACATTTTCTTCAAGTAAATTATCTGTTTGAAATGTGATTTTTTTGTTTTCTGCCATAATTTAGAACTGGCATGCCATAATTATTATACTCTAAGACATCAAAGAAAAAAGCCCAGGAATTGTCCTTTGGGCAGGCCTATTTATATAATACTGTATTTGAGAAAAAGCACTGGAAAAAAAACAAAATTGTTCTTAGCAAAGAATGTTAATTGATGAAAACATTTCTTTGCTAACAATGTAAAAGAAGCAATCTGTTCTTAGCTCTTTCAAACCACAAAACACATTTAGCCATTCATGAACAAAAGCCAATTATTTATTTTCAATACTACCTTTAACAAGTCTTTGTTTTTGATAATGGGATATTTTTTCTTATTTGCCATCAAAGCAAGTTTTTAATGTGTAACAAGTCTTTTAATAAGAAAAAGGCAGTCAGATCTAACAACAAGATTTTAATTTGGTGCAAAGTATACCTTCCACCTCAATAGTTAACTCTATGAGCTTTTTTAAGGTGGTGCTTATTCATTTTGATTAAGAAGTCACATGTCTAATATTCTGTAACTCAAATGTAACAAATGTCATGTAAAAATAAAACCATAAGAAAAGATTTTGACTAGAAAGAAGCCAAAATTCTATACTATTTAGAAAATTGTATTGCACATGATTGGTGAACATGGGGAAGATTGAACCTGAATAAATCAACAAATATTTCACTCTTTCTCATACTCTTCTAGGATGGAAAGAAAACATGATAGTAAACAGTATTGACAAAAAGTTATACTTAGTACATATATTTTTTCAGATCATAGATATTGTGTTTGAAGTTGAAAAAGAACTATATCGACAAAAGAAGGGATTAAAATTCCCAAGCCATAGGATGTCACATAGCAAACAATTTGCCTTTTAATAAAGGCATATCTTTAGAATATTTCAGAATATCTTCAGAATATTTTTATTTTAAATACTAACATACAAGAAAAAGTCAGATATTGCATAATTATGTAAGAAATTGATATATAATTCAATAACAAAAATCCCCAAATCATCTGGTTAAAAAATAGGCAGAGGAACTGAATAGACATTTTTCAAAGAAAAACATTCACATGGCCAACAGGTACAGGAAAAGATGATCAGCATCACTAATCATAAGAAAAATGCAAATCAAAAGTAGAATGAGCTATCACCTTAGGACTATTAGAATGGCCATCATCAAAAAGACAGCAGCGAACAAGTGCTGGCAGGGTGTGGGGGAAACTAGGACTCTTGTACACTGTTGGTGGGGATGTAAATTATGAAAAGCTGTATGGAGGTTCCTCAAGAAATTAAAAACAGAACTACCATATGATCTAGCAATTCCACTTCTAGGTGTATATCTGAAGAAAATGAAATCACTATTTTGAAAAAATATCTGCTCTCCAATTTCATTGCAGCATTATTTACAATAGACAAGACATGGGAACAGCCTAAGTGTCTATCCTTCAATGAATGAATAAAGAAGCTAAGGTATATGTATACAATATGAAATATTATTCATCCATAAAAAAGAAGGAAATTTCACTATTCAACAGATGTCTCAGGATATATAAGGCAACTAAATCTGAGCTTATTTTGCAACATTTCAATTAGATGCTTCTAATTTTATATTTTTTTCATGTGATAGTTTAGAAATGTTATAGTTAGTATAATTAGTTCTGAGAATCTCTTAATTTTGCTTCTTATGTACTGTGCATTTATTTAAATTTTCATAGTTCAATTTGATAAATTGACAGCTCTAGAAATGAAAATCTCATTTTTACAAAAACCCATAAAGGAGATATTGAAAATTGCCCTAGTTTGTCCAGACTTGGGACTCACCCCTAGATTATAATGATATTTCAGATTCTCTTTCAGGCTCGCTTTCCATGAAATCTTGGTCTGTCTGCCTTTATAACATATAGGGGGTGATTTTCATTGTAAAGTGTGTTGGATTTATTTTTTAAAAGACTACTAAACAGCCATCAGATAAAAACAACTCATATGAGCATCCTGGAATAAGTCTATAGTTGTTTTGATTTGCACAATAATAGCTAACACATAGGATAAGGCAATGGCACCCCACTCCAGTTCTCTTGCCTGGAAAAGTCCCATGGACGGAGGAGCCTGATAGGCTGCGGTCCATGGGGTGGCTAAGAGTGGGACATGACTGAGCGACTTCACTTTCACTTTTCACTTTCACGCATTGGAGAGGGAAATGGCAACCCACTCCAGTGTTCTTGCCTGGAGAATCCCAGGGACGGGGGAGCCTGGTGGGCTGACGTCTGTGGGGTCGCACAGAGTCGGACACGACTGAAGTGACTTAGCAGCAGCAGCAGCAGCAGCAACTAACACATATCATTTAATGTGTGCCTGACACAGTTGTAAGCACTTCATATATATTGTTTCATTTAGTCTCTTAAAGAATGCTATGAGGTAGGTATGCATATCATCCTACATGCATGCTAAATTGCTTCAGTCATGTTTGACTCTTTGCAAGCCCATGGACTGTAGCCCACCAGGCTCCTCTGTCCATAGGACTCTCCAGGTAAGAATACTAGAGTGGGTTGCCATGCTCTCCTCCAGGGGATCTTCATGACCCACGGACCTAACCCTCATCACCTGCGTTGGCAAGTGGGTTCTTTAAAACTAGTGCTGCCTGGGAAGGTCAATTATCATCCAGTTTATAGTAAATTATGGCACAGATAGTCACTTAACTTGTCCAGAATTGCTCAGCTACCAAGTGTCAGAGCTGGGATTAATTTCACACAAATGCAATCATACAGCATGTAGTCTTTTCTGACTTCTTGCCTCAGCAGAATGATTTGAGACTCAGCCATACTGTGTGTATCATTATTCATTCCTTTTTATTGAGTAGGATTTTTTATTATATGTATATACTACAATTTTTAATCCATTTACCTGTTGATGGACGTTTGAGTTGTTTCAGTTTTTGGTTATTATGAGTAAGCTGCAATGAACATTTGTGTACAAGTCTTTATATGTTTTGTTTCTCTTGGACTTGCTGGGCCCTATGGTAGTCTTACGTTTAACTATTTAAGAAACTGCCAGTTTTCCAAAGTAGCTATACTGTTTTATAGCCCTGAAAGCAATGCATGAAGTTCTAGTTGCTCTACAATCTTGCCAACACTTGGTATTGTCAATACAGTTGACCTTTGAACAGCAAGTGTTTGAACTGCAAGGGTCCATTTATAAGTAAATTTTTTTCAACTGTATGTATCTCAGTACTATGCTACATGCAGTTGCTTGAATCCACAGATGCAGGACCTTCCAGGGTCAACTCTAAGTTATATGCAGATTTTCAACTGCTGATTTCAGATTTTTACATGCAGATTTCAACAGATAGTTGGTGCCCCTAATCCTTGGGTAGTTCAAGATTCAACTGTATTTTGAAGTTTAGCCTTTCTAATGTGTGTATTGTAGTGTTTTATTATTTTTTTTATTATTATGTTTTAAATTTGCATTTCCCTGATAACTAAAGATGTTGAACTTTTTTTTCGTGTGTTTGTTGGACATGTCTATGTCTTTTGTAAAGCATCTGTTCAAATAATTTTTAAACTTGTTTTTTAAAGTATGCTAATTTCCAAATATTGAGGGATTTTTCAGCTTTTATCTGATACTGACCTCTCTAATTTCAGAGAAGTCAATGGCACCCCACTCCAGTACTCTTGCCTGGAAAATCCCATGGATGGAGGAGCCTGGTAGGCTGCAGTCCATGGGGTCGCTTAGAGACAGAAATGACTAAGCAACTTCACTTTCACTTTTCACTTTCATGCATTGGAGAAGGAAATGGCAACCCACTCCAGTGTTCTTGCCTGGAGAATCCCAGGGATGGGGGAGCCTTGGTGGACTGCCATCTATGGGGTTGCACAGAGTTGGACACGACTGAAGTGACTTAGCAGCAGCAGCAGCAGATCTCTAATTTAATTCTGTTCATAATTTGATTCTGTTTGGAGAACAGACTTTATAAAATCTTAAACCCTATTAAGTTTTGAGACTTGTTTTGAGACCCAGAATATGACCTACCTTGGTTAATATTTCATTTGCTTTTGTAGTGAATATATATGTTGGTGTTGTCAGAATGTTCTCCAGATGTTAATTAGGTCAAGTTGTTTGATAGTGTTATATACATATTTTATATTCTTACTGATTTTCTATCTACTTTCTATTAATTATTTGGAAAAGAGTCTTGAATTATCCAGCTATAACTGAGAGTTTATCTATCTATTCTTTCAATTAAAAATTCCTGCTTTTGTTTCTTGTACTATGCAATTCAGTTACCAGATATAAATATTTTTAGACTTAATATCTTTTCTTGATAAATCAAACCCTTTATCTTTATGAAAAGTCCCCCTAATCTCTGGTAATATATCTTATTCCAATATCTTCCTTCACTAATATTATTATATCACTCTGGATTTCTTATATTTACTTTTACATGGATATATATTTTGCCATCCTTATACTTTTATCCTATGTTTGTCTATATTTTTAAAGTGTATTTTTGGGATAGCATAAAGTTGGCCTTTTTAACATGATCTCTACCAGTTTGGTAATCTCTATCTTTCACTTGCAGTGTTTAGATCATTTACTTTTATTTTTATTTTCTGGCTGTTGCATACAGCATTGAGGTCTTAGTTCCCCAGAGCGAAGTGAGCGAGTGAAGTTGCTCAGTTGTGTCTGACTCTTTGCGACCCCGTGGACTGTGGCCCATCAGGCTCCTCCATCCATGGGATTCTTCAGGCAAGAATGCTGGAGTGGGTTGCCATTTCCTTCTCCAGGGGATCCTCCCGACCCAGGGATTGAACCCAGTTCTCCTGCATTGCAGGCAGACGCTTTAACCTCTGAGCCACCAGGGAAGCCCAAACTGGGATCAAATCCGTGCTCTCTGCAGTGGAAGTGCAGAGTCTTAACCATTGGACCACCAGGGAAGTCCCCTAGGTCATCTATTTTAATATACTTATTAATATGATTGGATTTAAGCCTACCATCTTGCCATTTTTCTTTTGTTATAAACTCCATTTTTTGTTCATTTTTTCTACTTTTTTTTCTCCTTTGGATTGAGTAGCTTTTAGTATTCTATTTTCATCTCTATCAAGAGATTATTGGTTTGATTTTTTTAGTAGAACCTGTAGGATTTATATTTAACTCATCCTAGTCTATCTTTAATAATATTTTAGTAATTTACCCATTAGATAACCCAACCGTTATTACACAATATTTTCACTTCCCACCTCCAATCATTTTTCATTGTTATAATTTCTTTTTTATCCATTTGTGATGTAAATACCACTACATATATTTTTCATCTGGTATCATTTTTTTCCACCTGGAGAACTTTATTTAACATTTCATGTGGTGCAGCACATGAAAAATTTTAAACTTTTAGTTGTCTGAAAAATTCTTTGTTCTGCCTTTGTTGTTGAAAGCTATTTTCACTGAGTTTGTAGAATTCTACATTGCCGGCCTTTAAAACTTTCCTTTAAATAATTTTATTTATTTGAGCACAAGCAGGAGATGAAGTGTGCTGGGTTTTCATTGCTGTCCAGGCTTTTCTCTAGTCGTGGTTGGTGAGGGCTGCTCTCTGGTTGTGGTGTGTAGGCTTTCCATTGTGGCGGCTCTCTGGTCGTGGAGTATGGGTCCTAGGACACTCAGGCTCCAGTGGCCACGGTACATGGGCTCGGCAGTCACGGCTCCCAGACTCTGGAGCACACACTCGACAGCTGTGGCGCATGGGCTTAGCTGCTCCTCAGTGTATGGGACCCTCCCAGATCAGGGACCGAACTCATGTCTCCTGCATTGCCAAGCAGACACTTTACGACTGAGCCACTACGGAAGCCCCAACAACTTTTGTTTTTCATTTAGCACTGTACAGATGTTGTGTCCTTTCCTTATGACTTATAGTTTCTGACAAATAGTCTGTGATCATTTTTATTTGTGTCTCTCCTCTTATGTTTGTATTTTCTTTTAAACCTTTGAGTCTATTTATAGCATTTATTAGAGGTTTTTTTCCCCCAGTTTTTTAGTACTAATCCTATCATCTCTATCATTTCTGTATCTGTTTCTATTTAATGATTTTGTATCCTGTTTATCAGTCAGTGTATTTCTGCTTCTTGGTATGTCTAGAACTTTTTGAGCAGATAATGGACATTTAAATGTTACATTGTTGAACATCTTGATTTTTCTGTCTTAAAATTAGTGCTGGATCTTGTTTGGTAGGCAGTTAAGACACGTGGATCAGACCAAGGCGTGTCTTAAGCTTTGGTAGGATGAGTGCTGAGTAGCCTTCACTATAAACAAAAATTAGCCTTGCTAATGAGGTATAGCCTCCTGGGGTCACTACTGAATGTCCAGGTTGATTAACAAGGACTTTTTACCAAGCAGTATGAAGTTGAACAGTTCCCATCCCTCTGTGAACTTTAGTAACTGCTCATCTTACATCTTCCCATTCAATGTTTGCTTAGATTTTG